AAATTTACTTTTAATGTGGGGAAGTAGATCGATTTTATCGACCAGAATTTCCTCTGCTCTTCAGAGCATGTGTAAAATATGAAGTTACATATACATTGAATATACAAAAATATCAAGGTTTGATATAAACGTACAACTTGTAGACAGTGATACAAGTATATTATTTAAGTTTTTTTAAAATCATACTTATTTTTTTAAGTTGTGTGTTGGGGGGGGGGGGGGGGGGTTACAGTTGGTTTGTCTTATAGTACATTGTATGTACATTATTATATGGAAAAATTCTAATTGTTTTAAATAACCATTCCATTCATTTATTTTTTATTAATATGTACGATCATACCATTTGTATAACGAATTGGTGATTCAAAAAAGTTGTGTGTGTGTGTGTTTTTGTAATTATAATGAATAGTGGTTTGGTTGTGAATTTGATCGCAGAAATACCGCAAATATTAGTAGTTTACATAAAGTCTGCAACACAGTAAAATTTCAAATGATGGAGAACCCTGTAGTCTAATGCTAGGACACCTGCCATCAATACAAGGAGGTAGTCTAATGCTAGGACACCTGCCAACAGTAGCAGGGATAGTCTAGTGCTAGGGCACCTAATGTCAATCCCAGAGGATAGTCTAGTGCTTGTGCATTTGCCATCAATACCAGGAAAGAGTCTAGTTCTAGTGCTGGGGCACCTGCCATCAGTCCCAGAGGATAGTCCAGTGCTAAGGCACCTGTCATAAGTACCAGGGATTGTCTAATTTTAAGGGGCACCTGCCAACAATATAAGGGGAATATCTAACTAGTGGTAGGCAGGGTTGTCCCTAAGAATTAAAATAGCAGGGGACATTAGAAGAGTAGAAGGGGATCTGGGGTTCCTCTGCTAACAGGGGATTGAGGAGGAATACCAAAGTAACCGGGGGATTATGTCATTATAGGTGGGGAAATTCCCCGGCCCCCGGGTCTTAGGGACAACCCTGGGTAGAGCACCTACTGTCAGTCTATTAGGATAGTCTAGACAGATGGACGGACAACATACATCTTACCATTGCATTTTAAGCTCTTTTGGACTCTGACCAGTACAGCTAAAAACTAATATTACGCCACACCGAACTGGCAGGAGTCTACATGTATTTATCAATTATCAGGTACTTAGACATGTTAGACATGAAATTTAATTCAATGAATGAATATTATAGCTACCTTAACAGCACAAAAATCACTACAAAAATAAATGTCTTCCCATTTATTTTATTAACATTATCAGCTAGACATTTCAAATAACTGTAAAATAAACTAAAAACCTGAATTTACAACATGTTCAATCCTCTACATCTACATGATCTACAAGAATTTTGTCATATTGTCAAGATCACTGAGTCCAATAAAATCCACACATTCCCACAACTACCTGTAATGTACTATAATCAATCAACCCACACATCCCCACAACTACCTGTAATGTACTATAATCAATCAACCCACACATCCCCACAACTACCTGTAATGTACTATAATCAATCAACCCACACATCCCCACAACTACCTGTAATGTACTATAATCAATCAACTTAAAATGTTAAAGACAATGAACTCTGTACCCACACTAAACGATTTAAATGACTCCTACTTTGTCAACAATATGCTGTTAAATCATAAATCTTGAACTTTATATCTATTATAGAGGAAGAATCATTTCACTTAAAAATTTTATAGTACTGTGCAATCAAATTTCCTAGCAAGGTTACGTATGATTTTTGTCTGATAATACATTTTTTTCTGATTATATCTTAAACAAAACATGAGCACCGATATGTGCAACTTTACGTTAAAAAAGAAGATCAGCTGCAAAAAGATTTCAATGCACATGTACAATTTTGAAGGAAAAGCCATTGCCTCAATCTGCACTTTTTTTTTGATCTGGCATTTTATTCAGAAATCATGGATATCAAATACCGAAAGAAAGTTGTTATTAAAATTCCAATCCAGAAAACACCCACACGTGGTGAAGCTTATAGGCCTAAGAAAAATATTTGTTTGTTTACAGTTACCCCACCAAATAGTTACATCTCACAGGAAATGGTTATATATGACACTCCATCTATTACATCACTATACTAGTAATTATGGTAATACTGTGGAAAGGGCTGTGAAATCATTTTTGTTCGGGGGGGGGGGGGGGGGGGGGGGGGAGATCAATGTTCCTGGATCTTGTGGGTCATCCTTACCCACAAATTTACATTCTCACAAACAACAACTTTGTCAGTGTATTTGTTGACAGTATACAGACCACAAACGAGTAAAATTTTGGTTGCACACAAACTGACAAATGGTTTGACAGTATGTAACTACAGTCAAACCTTGTTATCTGGAACTCAATGGGACCTAGGAAAAACTTACGAGATATCCAAGAATTTGATATACCAAGGACATTTTTTTTAAATAGAAAGAGTGATTGGGACTTCTTGATGACTTTGACATTTCCATGGTATTTGAGATCAACTGTAAGTAAACACGGAAACATACGCTGATATCAATGACATCAAGTCAGGACTCTACATTAACTTTTTTCCCTACTTGTCCCTTTGAACAAGTGTCCAAGACATTTACTTGTCCGAACTTCAACCTCAGTTGTCCGAAAAATTTTTCAATAAAGATCTAATACTGTCAACATAAAAACTAAAATAAAGCCCTTTAGATGTGCTTCATCGATTCATGGTGTTATTGATAAATACAACAAATGTATAAAACAAAATTTCACCTAGACTTCTTGTCCTGACAACATAAATGTTCACATCTTCACAAGTGAAACTGTCAACATCAAACAGAATCCAAACTTCCTAACGATGTAAGTTCCATGCCTTTGCAGTAGTATGCAATTAGTGAACTTCAATCCTGATCGAGTGTGAACTCAATTACATAGCAATGCATATCAGGATCAAAGTTTGGTTTTTATGTAATGTTTCCGTCATTAAACTACCGATAAACTTTCAACAGTCATTCTTTTTATTATTTGGAGACTTCTGTCCATTAAAATGTACTTGTCCAATTGGATGAGTGATTGGACAAGTGTCCAGAAATACATACTTGTCCTTACTTTTTTTTCACTGGTACCAGACAAGCATTAATGTCAAGTCCTGCAAGTAATTTTCAGTCTAGTAAAATATTAGTTTTACCATGATTTAACTGTTTTTTATCCAGAAACTCTACAGTCTTGTCAACATTCAATATATAATAACAACAAAACATTTTTATTTAACTTGACTTTGTATTATAAAACTGAATGCCTTTAAAACTTGGATCTTGCACTTAATACATTGTATTTGTTTCATTGTTTTGAAAAAATGCTTTGGTAAAAAGAAGTATGCAAGCATTTCACTGATCAGAAATACTACTCTTTTAAGATAATTTAAGATAAATTTGTTCAACCAACATTTTGCCAAAACTTCAATTGAAAAACAAAAACAATTATTACAAGGAATGAAAATTTGAGACTGTTTAAGAAGTGCCCAAGTTGCATACCAATAATTGCAACACCAATGGGTTTTTTTTCATCTGTAACAGTTGTTCAGTAAGAAAGATTTTAATATTTTTTATTCCAGATAATGTGTGCTCAACAAATTGTTTGACTTTTCATCATGTTCATAGACAATTGTAAAATGGGGCCTTTTGGGGGGGGTGGGGGGGGGGGGAGGGGGCTTTATTTAAATTGTATACATGTATTGTCTAACCATGCTTATGGGTCTTGAAAATTAGTCTAATTAAATTTTGACCTGTATTTCTAATGTACAACAATTACATGTACATGCCAAGCAAAATAAGCTTATTGTATAGATAATTATTTCTGATCACTGTGAAGTACAGGCTTGTGTATGTATTCTCTATACAGATTAATTCTAAATTCACGTACAACTTCTTCAAAAAGATCATCATTATGCTCCTTGACACGTTCATGTAGTAAACAACTTAGCATGGTTACACAATGATGTCAAATTGCACTAACAAAAGTGTTATTTAAAAGCTACCTCTCTTCTTGGAAACGTCCAGATTATCAAGATTATGACAACACCTACATAGAATGTGTGTGTGTGGCTTTTTTTTTTAAATATTAAATGATATAGTCCAGTTTAATGAAAGAGTTCATTCTCTGTGTTCACTGGCAATGTAGCAATGTACATGATGTAAATCGTACAGTTACCAAAACAATCCAGAAAGTTCCAAATATCAACATGGCATTTGAAAATGAGAATAAAGTGTGGAGAAAATGTTATTTTTTTTTTCTTTCTATGTATCATATTTTTGTTGTAGATGGCATATATAAGTTTAAAAGTTTGCTATGATTATAATCATCATGATCATGATAATTTGGTGTTTATTTTCAGTGCAACTCCTTTTGTATTCTTCAAAATTTGTCTAGAGTGGATCTGCTCAGATTTGCTTCATTGCAGCTATACAGCTAATTATTCTAACTGTAATGAGCGCTTATTCCGAGACACAGTTCCATTTCTCTTAAACTAGGTACCGGTGACCACCTACCTGATTGGTGGAAGAACTTTTATTTAATTAATAAGTGTCGTTAACATTAAATGGTTAAGGTATAAGCTTCGTGTATTTGAGACCCAGATAAAAGGACACTTTCATGAAGAAACATGTCTTACATAATAAACCCCATCCCACGCAAGTATACAAAATACCTATGGGAAACCTGAGTAGAATTTTGTAGATCCGCCCATATATTTTTACACCGGCATTTTCCCACAACTCCTTTAAAACATTCGCCTAGCTTTTTTAAAGTAGCAATTTTTAAAGGGCGTGTATTAAACTAAACAATACACACAAGCTTAACTGACCCAATAACTGGACTGACGAGATAGGAATGAGTCAACCTGCTTTCAAACCGCTATTACCCAAAATGGCGACATAGAGCACCACCTTTCCTCTGCCTTTTGAGTCTGACAGATGATCTCCCTTACAACTACCGTAAACTTCATGAATTGAAAATGGCTTACCTTAACTTTTACTCACTGGAGAGGGAAATAATCTGTTATCGAGGTAGATCACGAGAAACGACAAAAGGAAATATTCAGATTATTACCCCGGAAATAGGAACAAGTTGAGAGAGTTCAGGACCGCTTATATCAACGAATCAGTGTCTGCTTGCACTCGGCCAACCTTACAGGCAGGTTACGGAATCTGCCGAAGATTTATATATAAGCAAAATTTTATGTTTTTACTAAAACATTATACAAATAGTAACTAACATTTAAGAAAAAAAAGTTTTTAAATGGATATATATTGAACAAAACAAAATAAACGTTCATCAGGTCATTACACTAAATATCAGGTCATTACACTAATTTGATTGGAATAACTTTCCATTCATGCACATAAATGACTTTTGTTTTAAAATAGAAAATGACATAAAATTTAAAATTAAATAATAAAAGTTAACTTTATTTGGTATTTTATCATTATTTATTTTTTGAAAATATGTTCATCAGGTCAATCAGGTCATTACACTCATCAGGTCTTTACACTGTTCCGCCGAAGTTTGATCATTGGTTCCGATGTTCGCTCGCTTTGCCATTTTCCGCTCGTCGGAAAGGCCCGAGAATATTGCCATTATTTCAGGGAAATTTAAAAAATACGAACGAAAGATTTATACTTTGTATTGACATCTAGGCTTACTTGGCATTAGTGAAATAATTTTTATGATCAACCCTAAATGCTTTTGAATATATTTATGTGCATTTGTATGCTCAATGTATTCAGGCAGTTATAATTGGTAAAAGCCAGAGAATTGTTTAGAGGTGCTCCGATAGCTGAGGCCGCTTATATCACGATATAAACAGAAATAATGAGAGACACGTGTATGTGGGGACCGATTCTGTGTCATGTTTTACTTGGTTTAACTGTACTATATGGCAAAGTCAACTCAGTTGTTGAGAAGACTGCGTTAGACTTGCAAAAAGACCTGGAGCAGAATAAATATGTCCTTGTCCTGTTTGGTAAGGTTTATTTCAAATTGAGGAAATGCGGTCTATCTGTATTGTATATTTATTTTATTATATATAAGAAAATATATTTACAATTTCTTGTTGCTAAATAACGTTTGTTCGTTTAGTAACATTGTTTATTAGCATTGTAATGTTAGATATAAATTACTTATAACTTCTGTAGATATTTACACTCCATATGTATATGAATTATTTGTACAGCTGTTGCATAGAGGAGAAATGAAGATTGATTTTTACATTACAGTTAATGGAAATAAAGAAGACACTCAGAGAGCAGTGGCTGAATTTGAACAGATACAGACACCAGACCTCTACGATCAAGGTATGAAGGTACCAGGTGTTAATCGTTATACAAGAAAAAAAAAAACGAGAAAAATATCAAACATAGAGACCTACATAGTGCTACATACAATAAATTGTTGTACAAGAAAGGTCTTGTTAGTGTTGTACCGATAATCAGAGAACATCGATTGTTGATGAAAAAATTTTTCATAATCGATCTTCGGAAACATACTTCTTTATCTTATAAAATGCATTCTGGAATTATCCGTTCCCATAAAAAAAAGAAAATGGCTTATGCATCATACTTATGTCTTACAAAACCAACTTGCACAAAGCAGAGGTGATCAAGAACCAAATGGTGCATATGTAGAAAGTGTAAAAGAAGCAAAACAACAAAGAAAACCATATATTATATATTTTATATATTCATGTGAAAGAAATATTATGAAATACTTGTAATAGTCTAGCTGCTTTTTATATACAAAACTATGACATCTAATTATAATCGGTAAAATCGCATCGGAAGCAGTAACTGATTCTAACCGATGATCAATTATGAAAATTAACCAATGTCCCATCACTGGGTCTTGTGTACTGTAGGCACATTAATTTTCCCCCATGCTTAGGGCATGGCCCTGTACATGTACAATGTTTATCCAAATATGAATTTTCTTTCATAAAGAATGACCTGAAGAAGCAACTGTTTTATAAGAACATATCATAATCAATTATAATGTTTAGACATAAAAATCTTAGATCCCTAGATTCTGTAGGCATTTTTACATTAGATCTCTCAATAGTATTGTCTTAGATTTAGCAATACACAAGTGATATAAGAAATAATAAGAATATGTTGCATATAATGCCAAAGTAACAGAGTCTGTGGATCTTATTATATATTATGAGTTACACTTTCAACTCAACTTTTATCAATGCTTTAACTTTGAGTATCTGGAAGCTGGCAGGTGATATATTGAGATTTTGATTTATCTATTGTGAAATTCAGGGATAATGTGTATTCCTCTCTAAAGAGTATACAAATTCTCATTACCAGAGGTATTAAAGGTAACATGTAATGACCAGACTTTGGCTACCAGCCTCGGCATAAAGGCCTCACCACAACTGGTGTTCTACCGGAGCAAGATTCCAGCTCTGTATGATGGTAAGTCTCACAATCACACAAAGTAGGCTTGTACACACATACAAATACACACACACAAACACACACTCAAAGAAACAAAATTAACAAATTAAGAAACAAAAATTAAAACTAAACACTATTAAAATAGCAACAACAAAAAAAAAACCCCAAACAAACAAACAAACAAAACAAAACAAAATTTAAAAAACAAAAACCATACATATGTGAAACAAATTGATGTATTCAATGTACTTAGCATTAGTCTAATTTTGAAAATAGGTAACAGATTGTATTAAACATGACTGTGTTTAAATACACATATTTGATCAATATAGACATGTATGTTAACTTTTCAGGTATTTTGTTATTAAAGTAAGTCTGTCACAATATTGTTTTCAAATTGGCTTTTTCCTAATGTGAATCCTGTTTGTAGGTGACCTGACAGCCCCTGCCATACAGATCTGGGTAGAACAGGCAAGGGAAATAAATCTGCAAAGTCTGGATGATTCTTCTTTTGAACATTTAACCCAGGCCTCTACAGGGGCTACAACTGGTGACTGGCTGGTCATATTGTAAGTAAAACCTGCTTATAGTGAAGTACAGTAAAACCTGCTTATAGTGAAGTACAGTAAAACCAGCTTATAGTGAAGTACAGTAAAACCTGCTTATAGTGAAGTACAGTAAAACCTGCTTATAGTGAAGTACAGTAAAACCTGCTTATAGTGAAGTACAGTAAAACCTGCTTATAGTGAAGTACCAGGGAGGAACAATTTTGATTCGTTATAAACTTGAAATAATCTCAGGCTGTTATTAAGTTTATTACACGTTTTGATACTACACGGATTGAGAATTGCTTTGCTGTACTTTTAAGCATGAATTTATTTTATCAAGCATGTTCCCTACAACCATGTTTTACTATTATAAATGGAGAATACACACGATTTAAGGTCAAGTATGGGTGGCGTAACTCTTCAACTGCCACAAACTTTATGACAAACTTGATGAAATATGCATTATATACATGTATTAATATTGACCTTCTCTTCTTAACAGTTACAAAGATTCCTGCAGAGATTACTTACCCGCAATAGAGGGCACAGGGGTCCTGTAAGTAGTATAATTCTCTGGTCCTGTGATTAAATGCTACATGTCAAACATTAATGGATTTCCAGGACTTTCAGTAATTTTGGAGTGAAGAGGTGAATTGAACATTTGAATAGTTTGATTTTTTAATTATTTCCAACAGTGTATTTTGCCAATTATGAAATTGACGCATCGAATTTCCAATCATTGAAACAGCTATAAGTCACCTCCTGCCACCCCTTATTGAAAGCCCTGATTTCAACAACAGGGTTGTTCCTAAGATCCAGGGGCTGGGGAATTTCCCCACCTATAATGACTTAATCCCTTGGTTATTCTGATATTCCCCCTAGACTCCTTGTTAGTGGAGGAACCCCAATGCCCCTTCTACTTCTTTAATGTACCCTGCTATTTCAATTCTTAGTGACAACCCTGAATAATGTTGTAAATATATATTTTGCTTATAGGATATGTAAATAAACAATAGGGAAGCAGTAAGAGTGTTAGAGAAAAAATATTTTTAGTATATTTGAAAAAAAACTATGTGAAACAGGGTAAATCACACGTAAATCATCTGATGCAGTAGTGGAAATTCCAGCATTAAATGATATATTTTGAAGTTTATCTTTTAAAACATGTATGTTCTTCAAGATCATCATATTTTGGTTATTTCCTTTGCATCATAAAATTACCTGATTTATTTGTTAAAGAGTTATATGCAACTATTCTAAGAGAGATAACTCTCTAATATATTTTCATCTTTGACAAAGATTTGTTTCAGATTGTGCCTTGTATCCTCAGATTTCTCTTTATCTCCATCCTGTTTAAAATTGTCATAATACAGAAAAAAAATCTATTTTTGTGATCAGGGATTGTTTGCTTTTATTTTAGAGTCAGACAGAAGATGAATGTAGCCCAAGTAAATGTAGATGACAGTCCTGAAACTGCCAAAAGATTTAATATAAAGAATTGTCCTGAAACTTATTTGTAAGTCAATTTATTTTACCTGTTTTAATCAACCAAATTTAAATTTAAATTAAGATGTAATCTAGCATGTGCAGCTAGGTTAAGGCTGTCCGAAGGCTTAAGGTAGAACCCATGTCGGAAAAGTCTTTGTCACAAGATTTTCAAACTTTTCAAAATGATAAATTAGCACTCGCTTATCAATCAGTTAAAAATATATGGTATGTTTCCTTGTTATTAAATGTAGTGCAGCCTGTGCAACTTGGAATGACAATTTTACACTGCGACTACATATTTTCAGCTATTTTTAGGGGTACTGGTCATAGAGAGAATATAGAAAATCATAAAAATACTTCTTCAAACATTGTCGTTTATAGACTATATTAACTGTACCGTATTAGGCAATAGTATTCAAGAATAAATTCTTTTTAGCTCACCTGAGCCGAAGGCTCAAGTGAGCTTTTCTGATCACATTTTGTCTGTAGTCCGTCTGTCCGTCTGTCCGTCTGTCTGTCCGTCTGTCCGTCTGTAAACTTTTCACATTTTCGACTTCTTCTCAAGAACCACTGGGCCAATTTCAACCAAACTTGCCACAAAGTATCCTTGGGTAAAGGAGATTCAAGTTTGTTCAAATGAAGGGCCACACCTTCTTCCAAGGGGAGATAATTGAGAATTTGTGAAAAATTAATGGCATCATTAAAAAATCTTCTTCTCAAGAACCACTGTGCTTGAAAACATGAAACTTATGTGGAAGCATCCTCAGGTAGTGTAGATTCAAGTTTGTTCAAATCATGACCCCCGGGGGTAGGGTGGGGCCGCAATGGGCGATCAAAGTTTTACATAGGAAATATACAGGAAAAATCTTTAAAAATCTTCTTCTCAAGAACAGCAAAGCCATGATTGGTCATATTTATATGGTAGCATCCTCAGGTAGTGTAGATTCAAGTTTGTTCAAATCATGACCCCCGGGGGTCGGATGGGGCCACAATGGGCGATCAAAGTTTTACATAGGAATATATGGGAAAATCTTCAAAAATCTTCTTCTCAAGAACAGCAAAGCCATAATTGGTCATATTTACATGGAAGCATCCTCAGGTAGTGTAGATTCAAGTTTGTTCAAATCATGACCCCCGGGGGTCGGGTGGGGCCACAATGGGCGATCAAAGTTTTACATAGGAATATATAGGAAAAAATCTTTAAAAATCTTCTTCTCAAGAACAGCAAAGCCATAATTGGTCATATTTACATGGAAGCATCCTCAGGTAGTGTAGATTCAAGTTTCTTCAACTCATGACCCCCGGGGGTCGGGTGGGGCCACAATGGGCGATCAAAGTTTTACATAGGAATATATGGGAAAATCTTCAAAAATCTTCTTCTCAAGAACAGCAAAGCCATGATTGGTCACATTTACATGGAAGCATCCTCAGATAGTGTACATTCAAATTTGTTCAAACCATGACCCCCGGGGGTCGGATGGGTCCACAATGGGTGATCAAAGTTTTACATGGGAATATATGGGAAAATCTTCAAAAATCTTCTTCTCAAGAACAGCAAAGCCATGATTGGTCACATTTACATGGAAGCATCCTCAGATAGTGTACATTCAAATTTGTTCAAATCATGACCCCCGGGGGTCAGGTGGGTCCACAATGGGCGATCAAAGTTTTACATAGGAACACAGTAAAAATCTTAAAAAAAACTATTTGTTAAGAATAGCAGAGCCATGATTGGTCATATTTATATGGTAGCATCCTCAGATAGTGTACATACAAATTTGTTCAAATCATGACCCCCGGGGGTCGGGTGGGGCCACAATGGCCGATCAAAGTTTTACATAGGAACACATAGTAAAAATCTTTAAAAAAAACTATTTGTTAAGAATAGCAAAGCCATGATTGGTCATATTTATATGGAAGCATTCAGATAGTGTACATTCAAGTTTGTTCAAACATGACCCCTGGGGGTCGGGTGGGGCCACAATGGGTGATCAAAGTTTTACATAGGAATACATAGGTTAAATCTTTAAAAATCTTCTACTCAAGAACAGCAAAGCCATGATTGGTCATATTTAAATGGAAGCATCCTCAGATAATGTAGATTCAAATTTGTTCAATTCATGACACCCCCCCCCCCCCAACCACTTTTATATTTAAACTTTTCAACCTTTCAAGATTGAAGTGATTTCTGCTTTTTCCTAGCCATAGTGCTCAGGTGAGCGATGTGGCCCCTGGGCCTCTTGTTTATTCAATTGACATAAAAGATTAAGTCCACATTTCAACTGATATAGGCAAATGTGCTCAATATTTTTTTGAGTCAATATACCACCTAAATTTGTAAATATTTTTCAAAAGTCTTTGTCAGAATGTTTTCAATTTTTAATATGATGAAGTACATACCCAAATAATTATAAAAAGTGATTAAAATATAAACCTTTCCCCACAAACTAATGAGAGACACTCTATTTATTAATAATTCTTTTGTTGACCTTTTTGCACTTACACAGGATAATTATTAAATGACTGTTTTGGGGTTACATTCAGATTTACAATGTGAATATTTATCAAAAAATGTAATTTTATTTTATTTAAAAAGATAATATTTTAGGTAAACATTATTATTATTATACACCAACCATTATGAATAATTAACAAATAATTATGAAAAGGAATGCACGTCATTCCATGATAGACATTACAAAATTTACAAGCAATCTTTAACAAATCTTTGACTCAGACACATTTCATCAAAATATTGTATTATTTAGATTTCTTAGGATTTTTTTTGCATTTCTTCAGATAGTTGCATGCTATTCACATTAACACAGTTGTTTAACTTGGTTAATGAGACAGTCTTGGATTAAAGCCGTAAAGTACGGGAAAAAGTAACATTAAATTAATTATGACGTCATAATGGATCTAGCACCAAAAAGACGGACTAGACTCATATACTCAATATGACGTCATACAACGTAGGTTCTACGTTAATATGCATTAAATATATACTATTTTATATTGAGCTATGTTTTGATGTCAATTTGTTATCTTTGTATATATAAACAGTTAAGTTGTAAAGAAAGTTGAATAAGGTATTATAAAAAAGCATTTTTGTGATGTCATATGACTGTACTGATCACGTGACCGACACTTATATAAATTTTCTAAAATGTTGCACAATAATCGCATCGGTACAAGTGAAAAACAAAATTATTGTGAACGGCTTGTTACATAAATCAATTAAACGTATTCTTGGGTATATATAAAGTGCTGGAGGCAAGTCTGAATTTTATTTCATAAGAAAATATTTCACGAGAAATTCAACTTACCCACATACAAGGGGTCATTTTCCACTCTTAATCGCAATTTATACAAAATAGGATAAATTACATACAATCCCCCAGCAAAATTCAGTTAGAGGACATATTTCTCTAGTAGATTCACACAGAATATATTCAATTAATCCTTATTATTCACTTGTGCCAGTCTAATATATAAATTATAACATTTATAAATTCTAACTCTGTTTACAGACATGTAAGGGGGGCATTTCACATTTTTTTTAATTGTTTGAATACGTACATGTTAGATAAGAAAAAGTAATAATGATATTATACTGCAAATATTCACCATCATAACAGCCTTAAAACAACAATCCAGGCACATGAATTAAACATCAACGTAAAAAAAATTCTACATGTGATGTTAAAGGAATGTAAAAGTTATGACACTTTCCCCGTCATGTCAGCTCAAGTATGCAGTGACTTGACGTCATATGCCATTATGACATCATATCTAGGTAGTTCAGAGAAGTTACTACGGCTGGTACACTGTGACATTCTTCGGACAGCCTTATCCTAGCCGCGTGGAGGAGAACATTTGAGTGATTCTCCAGTGTGTGATATTCAACCAAAAACAAAGAATCACAGATATTTTAACAAATTTCTTAAATTCTTAAAAATTGATTGATTGTCTAGATTTGTAAGACATATTGTTCATTTGAAGTGTGAAATTACTAGAAAATTTCAGACACATCAATTACACTTAATACAGTTTAACTTTAAAACAATGTTTTTATATACATGTACCTAATGACTTGTGGTAAATTTTGCTTAATATAGTAGAGGGTTTTTCTTTTTTAAAAGAAATTATGTTTCATATTTTGCTTCATATATTACATAATGCATTTATCTGTATTTGTATAAAGAGATTGCTACAAAATCAAAATAATGTTTTAACTGATATTCAATCATATTTTTCAAGCCTATCACAAGCTGTTCTTATTTCATGGTTTATTATCTGTCAGGATTTACTTTTTTTCAGATTTCATCATGGGAAAATGTATTCCTACATCTCTGATAAACCAGATGTATACAGAGTTAAGTCCCTTGTCTCCTTTGTGACATCCTGGTACAAAAATGTAGAGGGCCGTAAAGTACCTGTAATACCTACAGCCTTGTAAGTTACATAATAATAATGTACCAGTAATACCTATAGACTTGTAAGTTACAGAGTATCAGGAATACCCACAGACTTGTAAGTTACAGAGTACCAGTAATACCCACAGACTTGTAAGTTACAAAGTACCTGTAATACCCACAGACTTGTAAGTTACAAAGTACCTGTAATGCCCACAGCTTTGTAAGTTACAGAGTAAAGTACCAGTAATACCCACAGACTTGTATGTTACAGAGTAAAGTACCAGTAATACCCATAGACTTGTAAGTTACAGAGTAATGTCCCAGTAATACCCACAGACTTGTATGTTACAAAGTAAAGTACCAGTAATACCCACAGACTTGTACAGAGTAAAGTACCAGTTATACCTACAGACTTGTAAGTTACAGAGTAAAGTACCAGTAATACCAACAGACTTGTAAGTTACAAAGTACTAGTAATACCCACAGACTTGTAAGTTACAAAGTAAAGTACCAGTAACACCCACAGCATTGTAAGTTACAGAGTAATGTACCAGTAATACCCACAGACTTGTAAGTTACAGAGTAAAGTACCAGTAATACCCACAGACTTGTAAGTTACAAAGTACCTGTAATACCCACAGACTTGTAAGTTACAAAGTACCTGTAATACCAACAGACTTGTAAGTTACAAAGTAAAGTACTAGTAACACCCACAGCATTGTAAGTTACAGAGTAATGTAGCAGTAATACCCACAGGCTTGTAAGTTACAGAGTAAAGTATCAGTAACACCCACAGCATTGTTAGTTACAGAGTAATGTACCAGTAATACCCACAGACTTGTAAGTTACAGAGTAAAGTACCAGTAATACCCACAGACTTGTAAGTTACAAAGTACCTGTAATACCCACAGACTTGTAAGTTACAAAGTAAAGTACCAGTAGTACCCACAGACTTGTAAGTTACAGAGTAAAGTACCAGTAATACCCACAGACTTGTAAGTTACAGAGTACTAGTAATACCCACAGACTTGTAAGTTACAAAGTAAAGTACCAGTAATACCCACAACATTGTAAGTTTCAGAGTAATGTAGCAGTAATACCCACAGACTTGTAAGTTACAGAGTACTAGTAATACCCACAGCATTGTAAGTTACGAGTAATGTACCAGTAATACCCACAGACTTGTAAGTTACAGAGTACTAGTAATACCCACAGCTTTGTAAGTTACAGAGTAATATAACAGTAATACTCACAACCTTTTCCCATTCAAAATTTTTATCTATGTCAATGATTTAAAAAAAAAAAAACATTATACCTTCTGTTGTATTAATACACTGATTTTGCTTGATTTTCATTTTTAACCCTATCTTTTGACCACTATAGAAAAATTACAGTTCTGTGAGTGCAAAAAGTTCTCACGACTTAGACAGACAAAGACTCAGATTGGTCTAATTATATCATAAGTAATGTTTGTGAAAAGATTTTTTTAAATAGTAGCATTGATTTTGCATAAAGTATAATTTGCTTTTACTTTTTTTCTTTTAAATTTTCAGTGATAAACTGACAGAGTCTATTGCTGATTATTTAAAGGTAAGTTAGTGACTTGTTGAACTTGTTTTTTTTTTAATTGCAATATCCGTATTTTATCAAAGCAAAAGATTCAGATGAATAGAAACTGGATGAAGATTATGAAAAATAAAGCATAAATAATTGGTTAATATATTTCTATTTCTCATAATGAATAATATACTTTCCATTAAGAAAATCATTAGATTTACTGTGAGGAAAAAATGGTTCCAAATGCCATTTGTGTAATACTGTAAACCAACTTTTATTGGCATGCATGAAAATTCCACAAGTTTAGCGACCTCCTACTTGCAAATATTTCTTGGCATGAACTATTTATTTTATTGCCTATTTATGTAAGAATAATTCCCGAGTCACAAAAATTAGCTGTCACTGATAGATTTCAAACTGACAAATCACGAATAAAAATTGTCGTGAGTAATAGTTGGTTTACAATATTTCTGTTATAAACAAAATGCTTCTCTCAAAACATTGAATTATCAGTTCAAATTATGAATTCAAAGGTGGAATATGATTATTCATCCAAAATGTCATGTTTACAACTTTGTATAAACATTTCAGGAAAAATTACAAAACCCAAAAGGAAGCAACTTCCTGTTGATAGGTGGCGCTGTGATGGCAGTGGTGGCTTTTGTTTTGGCAGTAGTTGTGGCGACATGTTCAAGGAATGCCAAAAAGCATGGCAAAGAGGAATAACCTTTATCATGTACTTAATTTTGTTTCAGATGTTAAATTTTCTGTTCTATTTTTTTATATTTCTGAATGATTGAATGTAAGATGAAGTGAAAGATAACTGTGCTATATCTATGTGCAATAAACATAAAATTTTGTGGGGCATTAACTCTCTTTATATGAGTATGAAAAACTGCAATAGAAATAAATCTGGAAAAGTACATTTTGAGAATAATTTATTTACCAGCAGAGATGATGGCTGACCTAGCTATCATGTAGAAATACAACTAAACTATAATTTACTGTAAATGTATTTTATTTGGCACATGTATAGAGGAAATTAAATTTTTAACAAGTTAGGATAAATTTGATTTTGTGCTTTTTGAAAGTGCTTTATATGAACATGTATACAAAAAATTAGCTATTTACTTGATATACTGGAGGTTGCTTTCTGTGAAAGGCACTAAATAGAATATACAGCTGAATGCAAAATGTTTACATATAAGGCAGCAGTGTCTGGTATCTTGTATATTTGTGTGACCCAATAATCTGACCTACTTGTGTTCTGACCTAGTTGCTGCCATTCTGATTGAGATTTTTTTGTGCCATTTTTCTGAAAAGGAGAGGCGTATATTAATTTCTGTCTGTCAATTAATCTTTTTGACAAAAATCAATGTCAGAAATTCATATATTGCGAAAAATGGTTTCAAGATGGTTCTTTTAGTTCTCTTTGAGAAATTGTGATTAACTGTTTGCGTAGCACGTAGTGACTCAAAGAAGATCCCTATTTTAATTTTAAGATCAAAAAGCCAAGAACAGAAGCTCACACATTGCAAAAAATGGTTTCCAGATGGTTCTTTTAGTTCTTTTTGATGTTTGACAACTTCATTTTTTATCATGTCTCACTATGACTTAATGAAGACCCCTATTGATTTGAAGGTCGAAAGGTCAAAGGCCAAGGTCAGAAATTTATTTACTGTATTGAATCAAATAGTTTACAGATAACGTTTAGTTCCCCAATAACTCAAGCAATAAAACATTTCGGTAATGAATCCTTCTAATTTACAAAAGACCCGTACTGAAGTTGAAGCCAAAAGATGAAAGGTCAAGGTCAATCCTTCTTTCTTCATCTTGTTTTTTTTAGGTCTTGTGTCCCCTTATTTTGTCCTCAAACGGAGGGACATCCAGCTTGTTGAAACAAATTTTTGATATATACTCTTCAAAAAAAGAAACACATAGAATTTCATTGACACATTGAACATAAAGATTATTTAGTAAAATGATGTATTGACAATAAAGAAATGTGGTTAACAATAGGTCTACAATCTAAATGTCATAATTGCTCAAGAATTTTGAAATCAAAGACAGTTAAGAGTCTGGGGACGCGATTGTCTTTGGCAAATCATGCAATCCATTTTGTCCCTGCATGCTCAACTGGGTTTAAATCTGGCGATTTAGATGACCATGGCAGAAACAAAATGCTGTAACTTTGCAAGAATGCGATTGTCAAACAAGCCGTATGTGGTTCTGTATTGTCAGATTGAAGTACAACTGCAGAATGCTGCAATATTGGAAAGGCATATGCAGGTAGAACATCGTTGGAGTACCATTTTCCATCAAAGTCCTTTTAATATGAACCAAATCAGTCTTACTTTTATGTAATACCATTTTTCATATCATTACACTACCACCACCTAATCTATCTACGTCCTGCAGGCAGTTTTCTGTAAAACGTTCATTACGAATCTTATGCACTCAACTTATAACAGGCTTTGCGATAAACATTCTGAATAGTAGCTAAACAAAAATGTTCAGTGGTGTTGCTGTGGCCATACTCTGTTGATCTGAGATCTTTGGAGTCGATAATTGCGGTGTTGTGGGGTCAGAATAATGGTATGAATAATCCTCTGGCAATAATCCCAGCATTCCATAGTCAACAGCAATGGTCTTGTTAGATGTTCTGTGTAGTTCAGGGATAGCTCATGCTGTAGATGACGTCATTGTGAAACATTCATGAAAATTAAGTAAACCACTGAAGCGATCCTGTGCTGCTGATGTCACGTGTGGTCTGCCATATTTTTTGGGAACATTGGGTGTTCCAAGGTAATGGTATATCTTTTATAGGTTAGATATGGAGCTGCATGTGTGTAACATTAAAACCTCTTGCAATTGTAGACTGTGGTACAGCTGCTTCCAGTTGCGCATTTTCCTTTTTGCGATATGCAACATTCAGATGCAGCGTTTTGAAATAGCGTCAATTTTCAGATAAAACCACAATCAAAATATCGAGAACCCTTGTTTTTGATAGCCCTTTGGTGCCTGAAGCAATTGCATCAAAAACCAACAAATGAAAATTGAGAGAAAAAAAAAGATTTTTGTAGCATTTTGCAAAATCAGGTCTTTTTGTCTGTGAGATTTGTAGAGTAGCTGTACAATTAACAAATGCGTTAAAAATAACGCATTTTACTCGAATGAATCATATCCATCTAAAACAAAATTATCACAAAACCATCTTACATTTTTCATTGTATTACTCCTATTATGTGTTTCTTTTTTTGAAGAGTATATGTTGCTATCATGTTGTAAATTCTGAATTTACTCTGGGGAAGTAAATGCAAAATTTACAAGTTATCATGTTGTAAATTTTGCATTTACCTCCCCCTGGTAAATTCAAAATTTACAACATGATACTGTAGACAGTGTAGAAACAAAATAATATAAGTATAGGTATGTGAATTAATTTCATTACCAGTTTAGAGATATGCATTCTTTAAAAAAAAATTCTTTTTATTAAATTCACTTTATTTTGAGGACAAATTCAACCAACAAAACAATTTGAAAAAGCTACAAAATAAATTATCAACAATGTACACGTGATTTATAATGTCAGCCATTCATCTATTATATGTATAGAAAATTATAGAAGCAAACAAATTCACCTGAAATTGAAGATGATGACGCATGTAAAAGTTCAGAAAAGAATCTCAAAGCATTTTTCATGATTCTTGTCCTCGCAAAATAGACTGTCTGCTTCTTGCTATATAAATCATGAAGGCAAAATCACAGCATTCATTTAAACATCTGATTTTTTACTTATACTCATATACAAATCAAAATTGTGTGAGATTTGCATCAATCAAAATATATTCTGTGCTATAATTTTAGTGGCAGAATATGAAACCAGGTGCTTTAATCATATTGTTGACATTAAAGAAACTTAGTTCGAAAAAACGTATAAAACATCTCTGATCCAAGACAGATCTATAATGAAAGAGATCTATAACTATATGATTGATTTTTTTATATTTTAGAGAAAAATGTCATAAAACCTCAATCAGCCTGATTTACATCAATAATACTGACGGAGAAAAATTTGCCCTAGATATAACAGAGTCCTAAATATTGCGACACGTTTGTTTTCTCTGTGGTATGACATCTTAGAGAAAAGACGAAATGCAGTTACATTTGGGAAAAAAACTTTCAGTTTTACATTAATGATTACGTTTAATTGACAGAACTCACAATACCTTTTCTAACTTTTTTTTCAGTAATTTACAATTTTTAAGGATTAAATGTATGTAGATGAATTATGACTGATTATATGATTTATGAGACACATAAAAATTCACTGTTCGAAAAAATGCTTGTGTCATGTGTCCAATGAACGTGAATTCCAATTCAATGTTTCATAGCAACTTTTAGATAAAACCTGCTAAATGTAATATATTCAATTTTCTTTAGTTTAAATGAGTTTAAATAATTTAAATTATACTTCATGGCATATTAAATTCTTCATTGTTGCTTTATCATGATACTTCTTGATATATGATGACACATGTAATATGTTTTCTATGAGGTAGCAAATGTAAATGATCGAGTATCTTATTTCCCCAGAATTCGACTGTTCTCCAATCCAAATACAGAAACAGCCGGACAGTTAGTATGTGTGACAATCGGCAAACCTCGGGTAGTTCCGTCGCCTATATCAAGCAAGAGGTACGGATCGACCGAAATGTGCTGAGAGATGTATTTGATTGTAAATATTGATTGCACAAAGTCAAGTCTGAATTAACATCGTCATTTTTATCAGGACCCGTAACACCGCCGCTGACATTCCGTCTTTGTTGAGAAATTGTTCTCGTTTCCTCCACACCCCCCATACCAGAAGGAGCGGCAATTCTGTATTTTAGGATCATAGTAGTATCTAGTCGTCCACTTCCGGCACGTGCCCCGGTTTTGCGCCATTTTACAAATGGATGTCTGAGAACTTGATGTCTGAGAATTTGATATCTGAGCACTTGATATCTGTGAATTTGCAGTCTGAGAGTTTGACGTTTGAGAATGTGTAATCTGAGAATTTGCAGTCTGGGAGCTTGACGAGACTTGATCTAAAAATTAAAAAAAAAAACATTTTGGAATTAAAATAATGGGTTTTTTTGTTTTTTGTTTATTGTTGTTTTTCTTTGCTTCTTTTTCCTTTTCTTTGTTTCTTTCTTTTTTTAAAAAATAATTTCTGGTTCTTAAGGAATGTTTATAAAGCCCAATGATATTTGCAACATCTTAAATGACCAGTTCAAATCAAAGTATTTCCCTTTTTATATAGATCGATAGAAAACATTCGAGATAGGACCAAAAAAAGTGAAATAAAAGAATTTTTTGTAATCCCTTTTCAACTCACTGATTTCCAGTTTGAACAACATTTTATACATGTAACTTACTTTGTAGGCACGCCTGCTCGCAGCGGGCTCTGGTGTTGAACCTATTGGCATTGCCGTAACAACCCGAATACATAAAGGTCTTGCACTGACTGGTCGCTACATCAAAGTAATAAGCCATCTGATATCTACGACAGTGACCCTCAGCCTTCGGAAGATAGCACTGACGATTTCTTGTCTGGGACGTTTGTTGTTGGTGAGGTACAGGAGCAGCAGTGGTTGTTGTTGTTGTTGTTGTTGTCGTCGTCGTCGTTGTAGTGGTTTTGGCGGGAACATTCATCTGCCTTCTCTGGAAACTTCCGAATAAACCTTGTCTTCTTTGAAATCGACTGAAAAGTTGTTGTCTACTATTAACAGAGGGACGGTTTTGAGACGCTGATATTCGGTGATCGTTTTGACCCGTGTTTTGTGTAGATTCCAGGCTGCTTGTTTGTCTTGTTGAGGAGGACGTTCCCCTTGGTCCAGTATCAGCTTTATGATTTTGTACATTTCTCTCTGACGACAACCCACTGTTTATTATAGCTCCCTTACCTTGATTTAAAATTCTCTCCATACCCCCAAAGTCAGCCATAAAATTAAGATACCCTTGTGTGGGCACTGGAGCAGGTGTTTTTGCTACTGAGGACTCAGATTTTGAAATGGATTTATTTATTTCATTATTGGTTTGTCTTCCTGATCCCGTTAAAGAGGTCCCACGATGCCTTGGAGACGAAATGAAAAATCCCGTATCTGCTGAAGGATCTTTCTTTGGAGGCACTCCGATTTTTTGTTGATCGATATATCCGTTATTATGTGTGTCTCTTGCGTTTTGATCAAAATTTCTCCTGACTTGGTTGGCATTTGATTGAGATTGTTGGCGATTTACACTCGGCAGATCTTGTGTTCTGACCGAAGAGTGTGTTTGAGCTACCTGATCTTTGAATTGTCCGTTTTGTTGATTCAGCGCTGCAGAAGAAGCAACCTTATCGTGTGATTGAGACAAAAGACTTTGACGATTGTTTGATTCTGAGGTTTTTGTTTGGTGAGTTTGGTGGGACTTATGATTTAGCATGCTATCTCGCATGCGTTTCACAGGGCTTATGGCAAATCCTGAATTTGATTTCTGATTGTTCCATCGATGGTGAGACATTCTCTGGAAATTTCTAATCGGGTGTTGATCTGATGTGATATCTTTTACAGATCTTTGACCCTCAGCTGAATTAGAAGCGGGAGATTTCTGACCCTGTGAATCGGAAGAGTGTCTTTGATCATGGATTCCTAGAACAGTTGAAGATGGTGACTGTGTACTCTTAAGAGACACAGTAATATGCATCGTTTTTCGAATTTGATGTTGCCTATTTTGTAGAAAACGTTTTCCCGTATTATCTCCCTGATCAGTCTGATGGGAGTTCGGCACATTGCTTAGTTGTTCTTGTTGATTGTTATTGTGTGTACTTAGATTACTTTGATCATGTTTATCTTGATTATGATGTCCCGTGTTTACCTTTTGATCAATTTTCAAGTTATTTGCTTGCTGTCTGTATTGGTTTACATCACCAAATCGACCGAAGGCAGATTCATGATTAGTCTGAACACTTCGGTGATTATTCGGGGCATGTTGCATCCTTTCCGTCAGCGGAGGACTTCTTGTTGGAGTAGTAGGAACCACTGAATAAGTAGCCTCGGTCTTTGCTGGTGTCAATGTGGATATTCTTTCTACTTTTGTCCCAGACATAATATCTTTTGAATAATATGGGTCAATGCTCGACATTTTCATCGAATTCCTTTCTTCCTTGTCCATAATGATATTCTGGGAATGCTGTACATTACCATCTGCTAATTTCGATTTGTTGTTAGAGATCATTGCAAATGGTATAACAGGTTCTCTTGTTTCATAAAGTTGAAGCTCTGGTACGCTGTCCAAAATTGGTCCTATTTGATTACCGAATTTTATGTTTTCTTGTACAGGGTTGAAGGAAGGACCACCAAGTCTTAGAGAGTTTTGCCTGACAAAGGATGCCGCTGGTGTGTCAAGTTTATTGCTGGTCTTAGTTGAGTAGGTAACTTCAGTATGTTTAGTAACTGGTTGTAAATTTTCTGATTGCTTGTGATGCATTGTTTCCGGTTGAGGTGTCTGTGTTGGAGGCATTGAATTTCTCACTAGCATATTAAATATTGGTGGATATGTATTTTTAGTATACACCTGTGTAGTGGGTTGTATTGGAATTGCAGTTGTTTTTTGGTATATTTGATTTTCGAGTTGATTAAATTGTTGTTGACGTCTTTCAAATTGTTGATGTTGATTACGTGTTGCTTCCATAAATTGTTGTCGTCGACCTTGGGGACTCTGCTCAGGTAATCCTTTTTGTTGCTGTTGAAACATGTTCAATTGCTCTTTCTGTTGTTGTTGCTGTTGCCTGTATACCTGTCGCTCAGCGTGCTGATTTGAATGTTGCTGCTGATCATGATTACCCCTTGGATGACTTTGTTTTTCCCAGGACTGATGTTTAGCAAATTTGTGAGGCGATTGGTGCTGCTGCTGTATATTTTGGTTGCCGTGTGCCCTCTGATGGTGGTTGCTGATATGTTGATTGGAAGGCTGCTGATTTTGCTCATTAGTCCTATCTCTGCTGAATCGCGTAAGATCTTGTTGAAGATCAGAAGGCCCTTCATTGTATACTATTTGACTTTCTGGTATTCCATTGTTATCCATATGTATCGATTTTTGACCATTTCTTGAATGACGTTCAGCATTTTTGTCTATTTTGGGTTGCTGATAGTTTTCATTTGCTTTATTATTAGTTTGAAAATTCTTTGCTGCCATTCCTCCTGATTTCAGAGGTTTGATTACTTTTTCATACAACAAAGGGAACCTTTTTTGCATTTCAATGCTATCGGTAAAAGGTTTATGTGTAAGAATAAATCCTATAGGAATTTTTGTACTTCCTTTTGATGGCATCATTTGGCCGAGTAGTTTCTCCAAATTACTGCTACCGTTTACATTTACCCCTATTGTGTCTTGAATACCAGGATCATTGTACTGCGTGACAGGTTGTTTTGTTGACTCAATATAGTCAACAGGAATTTCAGTTGGAGGGGGATAATTAGAGTCCAGAGGAGTTATTTGATCATTCCACGAATTGCTTTGATGACGAATCATTTGATCATTATTCTGCAAGTGGTCGTTTGAGTGCCCTGAGAAATGTGGTTGATGTTTTATTGTCGTTAAACTAAATGGTTCTGTATTGGGGATTTGAATTGTAGAGTCCCTCACGCTTTCATCTGAAGGACGAGATATTCCAAATCCAGGTCTTGAAGTCGGTGCTTGACCTTGCCCTAGGGAAGGTGAAACCTCTGCATAATGATTTCCACCTGACAATACTGTTTGTCTGGTAGGTGCTTGTGTTGGTCGATACTGAGCAGTATGAGTTCCCGATAAATCAAATACGTTTCTGGGACGTGATGTGTCCTGACTTGTTTCCGACTGAGTTTGAGGAGAACTGGCTATTTGATACATGCTATTATGATCAACATGTCTCTCAGTCTGCACTGGTACTTGTGTATGACTTTGCTGTACATGCGAATGTGAGTTGCTATTTGCTCCTGTATGCTCCATGACTTTTAGTTGCTGCTTTTTGTCACCAACAGTGTTGAACTCTGCAGTATGGTGCTCATTTTGCATCAATGATTTGTCTCCGTGGTTTTTATAATTGGGATCATGTGCTTTATTTCTTTGGCGAAATCTGTCGAAATTGTTGTGTGGATTAGTGTTTTGAATTTTATTATATTCAGCAGTGTTTCTGGTTTGGTCATGTCTTTGAAATTTTTCAGATTTCGGTATATCATTTGAATTTCTTCGGCGAAAACCGTCGAAATTGTTGTGAGGATTATTGTTTTGAACTGGGCTTTGTTCAGCACTGTTTCTGTTCAGTTTATGTCCATTAGAACTTCCAGATTTCGGTACATCATTTGAATTTCCTCGGCGAAAACCGTCGAAGTTGTTGTGAGGATTATTGTTCTGAATTGGATTATGTTCAGCACTGTGTCCGTTCAGTTCATGTCCATTAGAATTTTCAGATTTCGGTATATTATTTGTATTTCTTCTGCGAAAACCGTCGAAATTGTTGTTAGAATTAATGTTTGGAATTGGATTATGTTCAGCACTGTTTCTGTTCAGTTCACGTCCATTAGAACTTTCAGATTTCGGTATATCATTTGTATTTCTTCTGTGAAAACCGTCGAAATTGTTGTTAGAATTAATGTTTTGAATTGGATTATGTTCAGCACTGGTCCTCTTTAACTCATGTCCCTGAGAATTATCAAATGTCGGTATGTCATTTTTATGAGAATTCAAGATAGAGTTGAAATTTCTATCAGAAGATGAACTAGATGTTGATCCATGAGGATTTGGCTTCAAGAAAGAATCGAAACTACTAACAGGATTATTCCATCCATTGTTATTAGAAGCTTCTAGATTGTTTTGTTTTGATTTCACAAAGTTATCGAAATTACTATTTGTTCTCTCGCTATGTCCACTCATTTCCTGTCTACCTGATTGATTTTCATGAGATGGTTGCTGCACGTTATTGAATGAGGTCATTCGAGAATTGACTGGAGAGTTCGTGGGCTGAACGTATTCTTTTTGCTTCTGAGAATTATCAACGGTTGTATCCCCTTTCTGTAGGTGCAAATCAAACATTCTTTTGGCATTTTCTCGTCGAAAGTCCTGATTTGATTTAGTATTTCCCCTTACTTTGCGGAAATTTGATTCTTCTGATGCAACATTTGAATTAGCTTGGAAATCATAATTGTTTACATTATGATTGGAATCTTGAGGAATATTTGCTGTTTGATGATGTTGCCTTTTACTTTCGTCTTCATATACTGGTCCGGCATTTGCTTCAAAATCATATTGATTCACGTTTGGATTTGAAGCACCGATGCTTTCAATTTGCTTTGGTGTGTTTTTCTCTGTTCTAGCTGTCTGCTCATGACTATGAGTTTGGTGCCTTCCACTGTCGACATTTGATTTAGCAGGTGAACCAACTTCGAAATCATACGTCGCTACCTGTGTCGGTTCTGCCTGCTTAATGTCTGCTGTCATTTCATTTTTTCTTCGAAACATGTTATCCCAGGATGTTTTCTCTGGAAGAGGAAGATTGTGACTAGGAGGGGGTGGGGGTGATGGAGTGGTTGTAGGGGGATTAGGACTCTGCTGATTAAAGGAAGACCTCTCGTCAGGCTGGAACCAGTCTGGTGCAAACTTTCTTCTGGATGACTTTTTCTGGTTTGTATTGCTTTGATCAAATTGCTGATAGTTATAACTTGGTTCAGGTGGAGGCGGTTTGACACGCTGATTTTGGAAGTTATTACTCTTCTTTGGTGGAAACGGTTGACCATTGTTTGGGAGAGAGTAGGGAGGGTCATTCCTGTTATGAGTTTTGGGTACAGTGTTAGGAGGATTGTTAGTGGGTGGTTGATTTGGGGGGCTATCCCAGTTGTAGATATGATTGTGTTTATCACTTGCTTGTGATGGTTGATTATAGTTGTAATTATAAGGCGGAGTTGTTTCCGGGGGAGTTGGAGTGGTGAGAATGATATCATCCTCCAATGTGGTTGTCTGAATTTGAAACCCGTAGGGATTGTCCCCAAATGGTCGTCTGAGATGAGCACCAGGAGACATCGGGCCCATTTGGTTGTTTCCACCATGAGAATTCCAGCTATTTGACTGGGATGTACCCCATGGCGATCCATTTGATGGTCTTTGCCATGACGCATGGTTGTTCGGCAGATTTGTATCAGAGCCTGCAGCTGATGGATCAGCATTATTAGAATGACGATTATTATGTTGTGCTCCCACTCTTCTTTTAAACGACATCGAGTGATTCCAAGGATCTCCTCCACTTCCCCCTTGGTTGCCCGGATTGTTCCATCCGTTATTATTATCACTGCCTTGGTTTGGAGGATTTCTAGTCTCATTGGATCGCCAGGAACTTCCACCACTGTTATTGTTTCCACTGTTGACATTATGGTTTGGATTCCATCCATTATTTTTATTCCAACCTCCACTGTTCCAGGGAGAATTACCGTTGTATTCTCTCAATTCCGGAGTCTTTACCCCGGGTGGAAGGTTGTTGGGTCTTTGATTATTTGGGTCGTTCTCAACAAAGGTTAATGAGCTACCCCCTCCCCCACTATGAGCAGAGTGAGTTGAATGCTGGTTATTGTTGTTTGGATTATAATTATGATTTGGTGTATTGTATCTCTGCGGATTGTTATTATGGTTATTTTGGTGGTGATCGTGATTGTTGTGAGGGTTCCTATTGTGTGGATTTCCACTGTTGAAGTCATACTGTTGTGGCGGTCCTTGCCTTGGTGGTGCGTTGTTTGGTGGTCTATTGTTATTGGGATGATTATTGTGATGATTATTATTGTTATTTTTGTAATGACTGCCCCACCCTCGGTTCACTACGTTGGTGGGTCTAGGATTATTCCAGTTAACACTTTTGGTAGGAGCTGGAGAGTTTGGAGAGTTCCAGCTATTTCCGGGGCTAGTTCCGGTCCCTGGATCATTCCATTGATATCCTGATCCTTGGTTGGATCCGGCAGGTAACGGTTCAACTGTAAAATGATTTAGAAAGTTAAATACTTCAATATCTCAAAGACAACTGTGGCAGAACTATAGGTCGTATCATATATTCCCTTTTTAAAAATTATTATTAGATTTAAAGTTAACCGTGAATGAAATATTATACTTGAAGAATTAAGCTTGTAGAAAATTTTTCATTTTGTCTGTTTATTTTTAAATGCCGACAAAGTGCATTGCTCTTGCCACTGGCAATATTAGAGTTAAAGTTAACGGAACTTCCTAACCAGTGTCTTAGTTCGTATCATAAGAAACGTTTTGTAACTTGAAGTGCAATGTTATGTGAGAAGAAAAGAAGGTTTCATGGAAATTAAATTAAAAAAGAAAGTTAATTGGTAAGAATCAATACAACATTTAAAACACAGACAATAAACAAACTACATGTATAAATATAGACAGCATATCAACATAGTGCAAAAAGGCAGTAAAATACTTAGTTAGTGCACAGAATAGCATGCATATACAATGCTCAAGTCAGCACGTAATTAGTGTCATAAAATTTGCACAATTTTCCAAGACACGTTAATTGCAGCATGGAGACATTTCTTACATATACAATTTCAAAACATATTTCATTAAAAGGACTAGTTGATACATATTTTGTTTTTTTGTTATAAGTTAATAGAAATATAGTAAGGAAAATTTAACGATTCAGTAAAGATCACAATTTAATTGCAATGTTCAATCATAATATTCGTAAAAGTGAAGAAAAAAAATTAAATAGCGCAAAAATGCAATGATTTTGAAATGAAATATCTGAAAAATGGTGTTATTAAAGAAATTTTGCAAAACTAAATGCGCAACATCTTCGTTGTCCCACTTCATCAGTTCGCCAGGTACAATCCCTGAATGTACAACAGGTGTTGATAATTTTTTCTACCAAAGTATATCAATCTTCAGGTGAATACACGCACCAACATCTGAAATAAAAACCGTGAATTTCAAGTGCGCATTGTTGCCTAAACTATGTGCAATTCTTACTGGTTAACGCCTCGCATTTTGTCTTGCAGGCCTCTCCGGAGACGAAATTATTCTCGTTTCCTTGACAACCGCTGTAATAAAATATCTTGCAGCTTTCTGTCTCCTCGTCATAATAATAGCGTAGAAGAGTGGCGTGGAAACATGAGCCTGCGTCAGGTGGTAGCTCGCATATTGATCCCTTTGGTTCTGTAAAGGGCCATAATATGTTTTATTATCCTTCAGAATATTACAGTCGATCTGATTGGTCGAGTGCATGCATATAACACATGCAGGGAGTCAATTCTTGACAGGTTTGTAAAGGGCCACGATATATTACAGCATCTACTTATTGGAAAGGACAGAAATTGTCTTGTAAGTATATGTATAAAAGGAGAGCTGGATGGTCATTCGATCTTTAGACTTTTTTTTTCCTGGTTAAGAAGAGCTCTGAATAAAAATATGTATAGGAAATTGGATTCAATATTATAGCTTGAACATATGCTTCTCTTCATCATTTGACGATAGTTTATGGGTAGAAAAATTATTATATATTTTTAGCTGGATCGGTTAGGTTATTTGTTAACCACCCAGCCTTCTATCATGCGTTTTATATTGTATCCTATGAATGTTATACATATCCGATTCCAATGTTGTATGTTTTATTCCAAGGTTTTATTATTTTCTTCCAATGTTTTATTGTATTTTATTCCAATGTTCTTTCCAATTCATCATATTTTATTCCACATTTTATGTCATTTAGCGATGAACTTAGTCACATATGAAGAAAACATTCTGTGTAAAATGTTGACATTTCCCCCATAAATCAATAGGGGAAATGCAGTGCATGATTTTACCAAATGCAATTTTTGTCGACAATGGAGTCCTTTATATGCAATGATGAAAATATATCACATTTTCATTTACTTTTTTGATACATTCGTGTCTTGCTGTTAAGATTGACGACTTTGTGCATTTATAGAATTCATGTATTTTTGAAATAAATTTCACATATGAGCTCCTGAATGAAAGACTTCACGTGTAAATATGACATTTTTATTTTTCTTAGTTTCTATCTTTTATGTAAATTAATGATTTAAAACACAGAAAGTACTATATATGGAGTTTGTTATTTCTCAATTTATTAATATCTTTTAGCGTTTTCATTCCAATTTTAATTTTTTCTACGAATTTGAATTTCGAAGCACCGCCCAATTTTTTTTTATAGTTAATGTAAAGATAGTTTATGATTCTTTTAAAGGAGAGAAGTGAGATTGATTTAAACAAAAATATCTTATATACCATCAATTTGACAAGATTAAGATAAGTCGTAAGTGTGTCAGTTATAATATTTGCCCAAAGACAAAAATTTAACCATTCAATTTAGAATTCTTTTTGTATATACATATACTTTGGTTATTTCGTTAACCTCTTGGATTGAAAGCCTTATCAAGCATTTTCTATTTTATCGTTTTAAATGGAAGACATAATTGTTGTTTATAAAAAATTTGGGACCATGTACATGTACATCATTTGACTTCGACGCATGCGCACTTACCATCCACGCACGCTTTCGCGCACTCGCCAACGGTTTTGAAATTATTTCTATTTCCGCCGCAGCCTCCATATAAGAACGTCTCGCAGTATTCGCTGTCCTCGTTAAAGCGGTAGCGCAGTTCTAGCTTGTTACACGGCCCTCGGTCTGCTGGATCCTCACAAAATGGCTGCAACTGTCCTACAAATGTACAAGGGTGGTTAACAGAACAGTTTAATATCCTTCACCACGGGTGGTTAATGTAAGAGAACATGCCATATGTAAACTGATTAACTGAGTAATGCATAATTCAAAATACACAATTCTCCATCTGATGACTCTTTAAAAAGACATTAATTTAACTAATTTACTTTAAAATTTAATAGAAGGAAGATTTATATTTTCAAATGTTTAATTGAGCAAAACTTTAAAGCGAAAGACATTCACCTTTGAAAATGAATTTTTTAAACAAATGTCAAATTATTTCACCACACCGTTTAATATTAACAACAAAATCATTCCACTTGGAAAGCACACGAATATTTCATCTTTCAAATACAAGAACGAGTTATTTTGACGTAGCTAACAAAAAAAGCATAACTGCACAATTTAAGTTAATGACATTATGCGAGGTGTCTGTATTTCACATAACATTTACTCATTAACAGACAGAAACTTAATTTGTTAGTCTCGTCACGTATCAGCTATCATTTAGTCCAAATGATGTTCTTAAGGATAGAAACACAAAAAGAAGAAAAGGCTTGTGTTCTCAATGGACAATAGCACACTAAATATAAATTCACAGCATACAACATGTATGTTTTTGTCATCCAAACTTTATTTTGAAGAAGCAGATTGTTTAATCTTTTCTCCGATGTTTTGCCTGTTTAAGTATTACATTCTGCGTTGCTAAAAATACTAAGTAGATATGTCAAAAAAAGAACTTAAGTTGGTTTATTTGCAGAATCTAGTTTACTTATTTTTAATAGTTCTGCTGTGTTTAATAAAGATGATGGATTTATCTGCAGTATTAACTTTTTGAGAACACCCAAGGAAGTGAGTTCTTTTTTTCCTTTACAAAAATTTAATTACGTACAGCTGTTATATTTTCGATGATTACAGAAATCCATTTTATCTATTGTCACCATTTATCTACGAAAGCTCAGAAGACTCATTAGACACTCGAGCTTTGAAGTTTGAAATGCAAGATTCGAATCTAGAAATTCAAAAATTATGAATTTACAAATTAAATCCCAAATATCGAGTAGGACCTCTTTGTTATCGTATTATATCCTTGTTTTAGCAATATCACATTTGTTCTTGCATTAATTAGTGTTAGATATGTATAGGAATGAAGGGATACATTGTGCATTGTTTCGTTTCAAACAATGAAGAAGGTTATAAGTATTTAAATGCAACATGAAAGATGCATTCTCTGATAAAAGCTTATCAATGTTGAATGACTAAAAATATCTTTTCCTTCTGAAATTATCTAACATGTTTAATTTTATATCAATATATAATGCTGAGCACGATTTCGTGGTTTTTGAAGGAATGCAATGCATAAAAAGTCAATTTGTCACCAGAAATTTTCTGTGTTTTGTGCACATTAAAGTTATTTGGTTGAAATGTTAAGGAAAAAATACCCCACATTCTTAAAAAAATCAAAAACAAAGAAAGCATAAGATTCACCTTTACGTTTTTTTTTCCAAAATTTTGTAGCCTAAATAATATGACACATTATATAAAATGCAAGTCTGTTTACACTTAATTTACTCACAAGTCAGTCTTGATTTTCAAATCAATTTTTTTATTTCTTACCAATGACACGGTGCATACAAAGTGTATACAAGGAAAACAGTGTTCAGAATTAAAGCCATTGCCTTATCACCGTTGTTGTAAATTTTGAATGGATACAAATTTTATAATATGCAACTACATGTATCTGTAATTTTGAGAATTTGCTAGATCCCGTTTAATATCAAATTTGCAATGACACTACTTAGTTTGATAACAGAGTAACAGAGAACTTGAGTTGATATATACACTCTGTAGAGGTCATATAAAATGAATTGAAATTTATTTTCAAATATATTATGTTTATTGCAGCAGACGAACACCTAACAACAATAATTTTCTCATTTTTATAACTTCTATTGAAATGTAATATCTTCAGGAAACGCATAAATGAATTTAAATACTCATAAAAACTGTCTTTGCAATTTAAAGTCGGATCATCTCTGGCTATCACTGCTTCAAACTTCCTCAGTATCTTAGCTCGGTGACAGTCTCATGTTAAAACGATGTAAATTAAACAAGTGCATCTTTTGTGTAAATCGTCCATGTCTTCTTATTGAATACATGCCTTTTAACATATAGTAATTAATCACTTTTCTGAATTAAAGTTTTTACGACACGGAAATCTAAGAGGAAATTTATTTGCTTGTCAGAGATGTCGTTTATTAATTTTTAAGCAAAGTTAATCTTATCAAGTCAAGATATGCATCTGTATTGGTTGATCAGGAAAATTAAACAGAAGCTTTTTTCTAAAGGAAGTGCAAGGAATTAACTGATATATTTTATCACATAATTAGATTGGAACTTCTTAACAAAATTCAACGTTCTTTGATATGAAAATGTACTGGTTGAAAAAGTCATATCTACCAAGATTAATAGAACACTATAAACTCATTGTTATTTTTTAATTTTACATCTGATTAAAAAAAAAATAATGATACGCATTATATGATACTATCAAGAAATGGAGCGAGAAAATGTTGGTTACAGATGGAAAACCCTCTATTACTCAAGTTTTGGTCAGGTATTAAGAAAGGAATTTACTTCACTATTAGTTGTGGTGCGGTATTTAGATATGGATTGACTTCACTATTAGTTGTGGAACGGTTTTCAGATAGAGACTGTCATCACTATAAGTTTTGGTACGTTACTAAGATACAGATTGGCTTCACTATTAGTTTTGGTATGGTATTAGTATAGAAATTGGCTTCACTATTAGCTATGGTACGTTACTAAGATAGGGCCTGGTTTCAATATTAGTTTTGGTATGGTATCAAAATACGGATTGCTTCATTATTAGTTTGGGTATGGTATTAAGATACGGATTGGCTTCAGTATTAGTTTAAGTATGGTAAAATAATAGGGATTGTCATTACTTTAAGTTTTGGTACCTTACTCAAATAGGCTTTGGCTTCAATATTAGTTTTGGTAAGTGACTAAGATAGGGTTTGGCTTCAATATTAGATTTGGTATGGTATTAAGTTACGCATTGCTTCAATATTAGTTTTGGTATGGTATTAAGATACGGATTTGGCTTCAGTATTAGTTTTGGTATGGTATAAAAATAGTGATTGTCATCACTGTAAGTTTTACTCAAATAGTCTTTGGCTTCAATATTAGTTTTGGTATGGTATTAAGATAGGAATTGGCTTCACTATTACTTGTAATATGGCATTAAGATAGGGATCAACATTACTGAATTTTTTTTGGTGTATTTTATTAAGATAAATATTGTCTTTGCCGTTAATTTTAATGTCAAATAGAATGCCATTCTGATAAGTTTCACGCCCTTTTGGAAAATTAATGTATTCTTTATTAAAATTGAATTTGAATAAAGATATTGCATCAAACGTATATTGAACTCGAGAATCTAAAGATAATCAGTATATGGTTCAAAGACTTATTCATTAATTCTGATTAATAATAAATGGAAATCCTAGAAAATATCGATCATTTTCACGTGAATTTTCGATGCTTTCAATCATACATTTGAATTTTTCCATTACTTATACTAAAATCTGGTATTTAATTTAACCTACAAAAATTTAAAGTAGGTCTTCAGATGTAGACAATTAATTTATTAAATTATTTCAATTCAGAGTGTGACGCTTTGAGAAGTGAAACATTTTAAGGACAAAGATAACATGTCATTCATTTTTTTTTACTTTGAATTTCCGGATTCATATGTATTCCTAATATATGTTGTGTTACCTGTAACTTAAATGTTTTACTTAATTAATTGTTTGGTCTTAGATTAAAGCATTATGATAGGATTTATCATCTTAAGCAATATTAGCAAATGAGAGTAGTTATTAAATGGTGCTTCTTGAGAGAGAGAGAGAGAGAGAGAGAGAGAGAGAGAGAGTTTTCGCTAATGTAGGATGAAAAAGAAATATTCTATCATTTTAATCACAACTTTGAAAGATTATTTGATAAAGACGTCATTGGGGTGAATTTATTATGTTTTATCAATATAGATTATGCTTATTAAGTGTGTGATCTAATAAAAATTGATTGATAACCACATTTAAATTAATTATATTCAACCTGTTTTGACCTCTGCAAATTTACACTATGTAATATTTTGTTCGTTGATAAGTTATATATATGTAAGAAAAGGGGCGAAAATTCGTGATAGATGGTTAGACCACGATAAACCGTGTTATTTGATGCCAGAACATATACTGACATATGATCAATTATAATTTGTGAATTGTCAGGCTTGTTTGTCTAAAATAAATATGTATTCAATGTAAAAGATATTTAAAAAATTGCAACGTGCATCTGTTTTTAGTTTCTTTAAAAGATTCTATTGTATTTATTAAATTATTTTATCATATTAGATACATAGATTTAGTGCTATTTCGTTGCATGTACTTACCAATTGCATAACTTATCTGAAATGAATAAAGAAAATGGATATGATATTTTATTTCACATTTGAAGAAATGTTTCTGTTTGAATGGCAAATTCAAAGATCATACATATCTACTACAAAAGAAAAGGGATTAGCAGGATTAAAATGAACATTTTGTTAGAAGTAGTTGTGGGGAAGTATAAATTCCATTTTATTTTCTGGCAGAAAACAAAATCAAAACATAAGGTATATAAAAAGTCATTTAGACAAGATTACTAAACCGTGTTGTCAATTTCAGTCTTAATTTTCAGATAAAGACTCGGGTTCAATTTCCGCTGCAACAAACAAGAATGAAATTTGAAGATAAAGAACAGTATTCAATCTCGAAAGTCCAATGAAACGATACAAATTTGGAGCAGAGCAAACACGGACCTCAAAATTTAGAGGTGGAATCAGGTGCCATGGAGAAATGAGCATCCCCTGCCGACCGGTCACACCCACCGTGTGCTCCTTGTCATGATCGGAAAAAAACCCAAAACCGGAAAAATCAGTAGACAGTTCAGTGTATAAATAATAGCCTAACAAGAAAACATTGGAGGTATGTGTGATTCCCAGTTATTGGTAAACTCTTATGAAAATGGCATCAGTACGTTAAACAGTAGGTAATATTCATTCAGACATGAACACAATTCATTTTGATGGCGAAGACCACCTAAAGCACTTATTTCCTTATTAATTATATCATTATTACATCAATGGAGATAACCTAAAACACTTATTTCAACACTAATTATATCATTATCATATCAATGGAGACCTCTTCGTCTCATTATGATTTTAAAGGTTTTAATTAAATATGCTCTTTCACAATAGGTTAAAACAGAGGATAAACTAACCACCCACAAACCAATGTTAAATCAGTGAAGTCTTGACAGTTACCAACTAGTCTTCTGAAAATGCCCTATAAGGATTTATGCAACAACAAAGTAGAAATCACGTATCAATTTAATGTGTCAAAATAAGATTTTGTAGCTTAAACCAGACTGATCCCAACATCAGTTTTATCATCAGTACTGTCCCCAGTAATATCATCAGTATTATCAGGAAAGGACCTTTCTCGTAATTAACTTTTCAATGACGTGAATTTGTTGTTCAAAAGACAAATCAACAAAAACAATATAATAGCAAAGTATTAATGTTGGAGAGAAATGTAATCTAGGGCCATATATAATGAATCTGTTTTGACATATAGATTTATAAAAGACAATGATATGATTACAAATGGAATTGACATTGTCATAGTGCTTTGTATTTGAGATTCAAATGCTTAAATGATCGCATGCAAATATGCAAAAAAAAAAAAATCCCTCTGCTATAAAATGAGTGGTGTTTAACCTTATTTGAAAAGTACCAAGCTTTCAAATAGAAGGTGCTAAATACGTTCTATCGTACTGGATTTAATGGCGTTTTGTAATATATGTCCTTCCTCTTACTTCACCTTCTGTCGAGGAAAAGCAGTTTTTGCACCTTAAAATTAATCTCAAATAAATGAAAGAAACGAAGAAGAGAAAAGTATTTTACTTATCTAAATATAACATTTTTGTCAACATTAACATCTTCTAAACATCACGTTCTACCTGTCAGCTTTACTTCAATGTTTGCAGTGTAATTAAACTATAGTGCTATATGTACATGCAAAACACTTCTTTACTTAGTCTCTGTTTACATACTAGATGGAAGTAGTACACTTTTTATTGCTTTTTAATTTTGACAACTTCTATACGGCATGGTAAAGACATTAGAAAGATACATGAATTAATCTTTATGAAGCTTATAAAAAGACTTATGTATATGACGTTTGTATAAATCACATTAATTGGAATTTTGCAGCATGTAATGGACATTGGACATGCAAATTATAATGAATAAAACAATTTGACAAATGAATTTGCTCGGATGAGGATGAAAAGTGCACAATGGGTTTTTGTCCCACAAAAAAGTTAGAGAACTACTATCAAAAGGAATTGTGTAAGTTGTATTTACAACTTTTGAAGAATTTAAGAATATAAATATTTTTTTGGACTTTTTATCTCTATGTCACATTAAACATTATTTACCCACGTGCAATTATGCTCTCTAGCGATGTGAAAACAAATAAAATTTAAATTAATTCATTGCTTAGGATAAATATTACAGAAAGTTTCCCACATAACTATTTGATAACCATACTTTGATCTTTAACAAACCGTGATGGCATTTTCTTTAATAAATTTATCTTTATCACACGGCGGGTGTGACCGGTCGACAGGGAATGCTTACTCCTCCATGGCACTTGATTCCACCTCTGTTGGTTTTGGAGGTCCATGCTTGCTCTGCTCCCGATTTGTATTGTTCCAATGGATTTTTGAGCTTGATTACTGTTCATTATCGTTGTATTTCACTTTATGTTATAAGTTATAATAGTTTCAAGCCAACCAACATCATATTTTGCAGTTAATGAAAAATAACCAAGAAGCTGTGGTCTAAATCATTTGGCATGACGAATTGATTCGGTTAACCATACACAGGAATAGAAAGCCTTGCTCAAAGAGCAATAGCTAGCTTTTGTTAAGGAATTCAACCAGATACTGTATGAACAGCCGACAATTGAAGATTGCGAGTAAAAATATAGTACCTACTATCAAAGACCATTGAGGCAACTCAAACAGTTTAACAAACAAAAAAAAAGTAATATAAGGATGCTCCTAAGCAAATAAACATTTATGGTAATGAGCATGATTTTTTAAAATTTTTTGAAAACTAATTGCAACTGCGTAAAATTTTAATCTTTAATGTTAGAGTAGTTATTTACCTGGAAGATTACGCAAGCTACAGTGGCAACGATTCTCCCCATCTTGTTTCCTTTCTTCTGATTTAATCTGAAAAGAATGGAAACTTTTTATTTTGGATCATTGTAGGGATTCTGTATTATAAAATTTTCGATCATTAATGAAGGATATACAATACTGAATAATGATACAATATCAACTAAAGCATTCAGTTTTGATTACCATAAAATATTCTAACATGCATCTTAAACTAAATAATCTTTAACTATCATTTTTGGTTAAGTATTAAGTGCTCTTCTGCAATCAGTGTGACAAAAAAGAGTTTGCTGATGTCAAGGTCATTTCTTATTTCATGCCAAAAAGGCAGATTCCCTTTGATTATGCACTGAATTTTCAAAACGCAGACAGTAAACACCACAGGACATGACCAGGTTAAAAACATACAGTTATACTAATATAAGAATTAAAAACAAAACATACATGAAAAACCCGTACAGGTACTTTAGTGCAGAGGGCATCACTACGATGTTTTTGCCACAAGATATCAGGAAATTCAGATGCATGTATCGGAGAATATTTAGACTGTATGCACTATAAGGCATAACGACAAAAATGTTTACTTCCGTTTCTGCAAAATTTTCAAAGAAAAAAAAATAAAAGGACAAATTACCTCTTAACTCCAAGACAGGTGGAATAATTAAGAAGCACTCCAGTCTACATGTAAACTTTACAGATATCCATCCCGATAAGAGGCCTGTTTCTGTTTAGCAGATTACTGTCTAGTTTTTGACGTTCAGATTTATCAAGTCTGTCTAATGATTCCTAACTCTGACTGAAAAGGGGCGTCGGCGAAACTCGTGTAAAATCCTAATTTCCATTCACAGAAAAACGAAGTAACATCACAGACGACCACGAATAAAATTTACCACTAAATCTTAAGCTTCCTGGGATTGGGATGTTATGGTAGGTATATTTCTGATGTCTAGTTCCTGAATTTAATTATGAAATCCTTTGACTACAGAGACTAATTAATCGTCACACTCTGATATCAATGACAGTATATATCAGAGACTCAGGTCTTTCTTAGATTGAATTGTCGGGTGTTTTTGAGACTCGTTTCTTTCTTGGATTGAAATGAGACTGGACGGAATAAAATCAAATGCGTTGACTCTGTGGATTAAGAAATGGGAGAAAATATCACAACTCCAATCCTTTGGATATTATTCTATTCGGCAAATTAAAGTTGCTATGAAAGATGAATTTCAAATTGGGATATGTTATCTTAAAGGAAGGTAAACCAATTATGAATATAACGCTTAAAAAATCATCAATGTTTTCTTCTTAAACAGATTTTAAGCATTTCACTATATGTTTCATGCAGCCAAAAATTCACCAGAGGAATCCAGAAAGAAGGAACTGTGACTTTTAATATTCCAAGTGGAAATCCATATATTTATATAAAAACTGGCACCCCCTGACCGATGTAATCAAAATTCCTGATAAAAATATATTGAAGTATCCTGTTAGTGTCTCACTAGTTTTTATCAATCACGTTCAAGTGCCGGTGTTTTTATAATCTGTAAATTCTAATTAGTTGTTCTCATCAAGCTAATTGTGATACAACTAGTGGGAACTGCAATAATTTGTCTTCCCGTCAGAGAGTCGTCAGTTAAAACTCTAATTCTGCAAACATATGTAGAAGGTGGAGGCAGCTTATGAATTTATTTATAACGTGATTTATTGGAACAAAACTTTCGTCATCTACAACGCTCGAATGATTTTTCATTTATATTTTACTTATTTGCTGGTATATATACATTTATCAGGAGTTAGAGAAGGAAATTGATTTAACTTGTCAAAATCATTATAATATTACACGTAAACAGGACAGGATATAAATTGGAGTGACACATCATAAAAAAAGATCACTATATTAGCTTTAAAGAAAAGTACTCCTTCATTTATGTAAAACTTTATCAAATTTAGTGGAATGATGTCATTTTTAATGCTATGATGATTAAAATACGGACTTTATTAAAATACTACTAACACTGTCTTAACATATTCAGGATGTATATAATATCTAGAAAAATTGGACAAGAGAGACCAGCAAAATTTAAATTACAAATCGATATCTTTGAAAATTTCCTTAAAAGTGAAAGAGGTAAGCTTGTCATAAGATGAATTTCAACATAATTCGATACTTCCCATGACCTTAATGTTAGTAATAAGGGGCCAATGTGATAATTCATCAGAATCACCAGGATTGTTTGATTGTTTAATTATGAATAATTTTCAAGTTTGAATAAACATTCCAGCGGATTGATTTCTTTTAATTTAACATTTGTTTTCAATTGCAATGCAATTTTGCATATGGTAATTTTGATGAGTAAAAGTTTTTAACTTCATCCTGAATACAAGAAATAGGTCAGTTACAGACAAATAATTGAAGAACATCAATTTCCTTGTTGTAAAGTACTCTGTCATAAATTGCCATTGAATTAGGAATCGAACAGAACGCGAAATAAAAATGTAAAGAGAAGACCAAACAAATATATTACGTAAAAACTATACCGAACTGTATACACTGTATCTATGAATACTGAAAAAATGTACATATATTCTTTTGTAAATAGTTTAAGGCTTTATTGCATCAATAGAATATTGAAATCAAAATCTTATCATTGAAAGACACACACACACATAACTATATATATATTTTTCTGTTAATTGGAAATCAAAACACATCTTAATTAATTGTCTTTGAAGAGTTTGACAAACACCGGTAGTTTAGCTGTCAATAATGAAGATTATTTTCACATTTTACGCATGAACTTTTCTGAAGAAAGGAAATTGACATAATATGTCAAACTTATTTTTGTGTGGTTTTTCTGTTTACTAGTAAAGAACACATGGTGCAAATAAGAAAAAAGAGGCCCAGAACATCACTTGACTTTGGTAAAAAATACTTGCATTTATAGGACGGTTTCTTTCAATCTGCACATACAAATAGATAAAATGTACCTTAAAATCTCTAGTAAGCTAATGACGGATAAACAAAGCTAAGTAGAAGTAGTCTAGTCACTTTAAAACGACTTAAAGACTAAATATACTACTTTTAAAGGAAAGAACTTTTTAAGTGAACTTGTTATTAATTATTTGGTCAATTTTATACATTTTCATAACCAATTAATGTGAGAAGAATTAGAGACAGTACAGTAGATTCTGCCTATTTAAGTGTAAGTTAAGAGTAAATTTACTTGTAAATTTAAATGAAAATTAATTATAATTCTGTGTATAACTATAAATTGTAAGATACAAATATTAGATGCATGAAATGACAGACATAATGAGGCATTGTAAATATCCATAATAAATCAGGTAAAGGCTCCTATTTTTCTCGTAAAGCATAATTGTTCATAAGTCTTTCATTTCTTTCAGGTACTAATTAATGTTTTTGAGATAAATACTATTCAAAAATATGGAATTCCATCAAGATTGACATAAATATTATATATCAATGATGTAAATGAAAAAAATAAGAAAAACTATCATACGAACTAAATAAGAAAATATGAAATATTTTTATTTTCATGACTGGAAATCTTAAACGCCTCATTAATCTTCTCTAACAATGTTGATAATCACAGGTAACAAAAGTCACAAGCAAACAATTAATTAGCATTTTTATAGTGTCATTGACATATAAGGAGATGAAAAATCACTCAGTCACAAATACCTATGTACTGGGAAAAGGTAAAATATGTTCACCAAAAACGTTTCATAACCAATTGTACAGATATCGCGATCAACTGTTCATTTTGTTTACTATAAACCACTGTACATATATCACAGCCGGTCATGGTGGCCTAGTGGTAGGGCGTTATCGGAAGGCCTGGGTTCGATCCTTGTTCATCGCACCGCGTCAAACCTAAGACGTAAACATAGGTAGTGACTCTTCCTTATCCAAGCGCCCGTCATTAGAAGTGAGAGTCAGAGATCTTTCGGATGAGACCTTAAAAACCGAAGTCCCGTGTCACGGTAGCCGTTGGCACGATAAAAAACTCTCACTGGTCAAATGACCCTGAGTGTCGAGTATAGGTCTAAATTTGAAGCCCTTCACTGGTATTTGGTGACGTCTCTATATGAATGAAATGATTATCGAATAGGACGTTAAACAACTTACAATCAATCAATTATAACATACTGAATATATTATAACCTATTGTACATGTCATAACCTACCACAGGATGCAAATGGGGCATTCAACTGAATGTTCACTGAAATATCTGAGGAGGTGGCTTAATGACAGAGCTCTGCAACTTGGTCACCTTTCAGTAAGCTTTTAGTCACCTTTAAGTTAACTTAATGACATAGTTTCATCCAGTGTAATGTATATGTACCATATGCTCATATTGCTCTACACATCACAACCAATTGTTTCGTCTCTCTCAATTTCTTATAAGCATCATTCCTGTACATTTTAAGGTGTCGCCAAAATCTGGTTATATGATGTAGGTGTGGAATGAAATGTATGGAGATAACGAACAGTATTCAAGTTCAATAAATAATAAGATTTTAAGTTCCTATACGATTTTAAGTTCTATACGTGTCCGAATGGTCCCCAAAAGTCTAAATAAATAGTGAAGTTTCGAAGTATTCGTTATATCAACTCGTTAATGAATAGGGGAGAGAGTTTGGAAGTTTTTTTTTATTCTCTTGTGGCAACCTCGAAAAAACCGTTATAGGTATCTTGCAACTAAGCTAACATCAGATGAACCTTTATAGATATGTTGCTACTCTGCTAACATCAGACAAGCCTTTTCAGATAGGTTGCAACTAAAATCAGATGAACATTTATTAGTATGTTGCAACTAAGGAAACATCACATGAACCTTTATAGATATGTTGCAACTAAGTTAAAGTCACATGAACCTAGTGTAGCATTAAAAAGTGATGAATATAGGGACGCATATTAGTATTCTTATTTCTGATGCTGAATGCGTACAACATTTAACACATGAAAAATCAGGTTAACAATTTTAATAGGGCTTTATTTAAATGCG